GGGGCGCAGCCAGAGGTCGGGGAGCGGGGTCCGGGCGCAGCTTGGAGGCTGGAGGGCACGGTGGCGGGGCCGGCAGGCGCGACGAGGTTGCGCCCGTCCCCAGCCCATTGCTGCCCATGGCCGCGGCCCTCGGATTGACCGCCACCGGCGAGCCCGGGGCACCCAGGACGGCCGGCCGATGGTGGTTGTGTTGGTTCTGGTGATGGTGGTGGTGATAACTGGTGGTGTGGGCGCAAAGGGGGGGCATGGCGCGCGCGTCGCACCTTAAAGAGGGGCGACAGCGCCAGAGTCGCGACCTGGTGGATGGGCCAGGGCAGCGTCATGTGGCGAAAGAGCTCTGATGCGGGGATCACGCCCGGGTGGCACGCCACGGCCGCCAGCGGAAGCCCGGCCTCGCGCCAGCGCCGGTGGAGCTCCCTTTGGGGGGCGGCGGGGCGCCGCGGGTGGGGAGGGCGGGGTGGGAGGGCGCGGGCGGCGTCGATGTCGAGCGGTGGTTTGGTCCAACGGGCGTCCAGAGGAATCAAATAGGCCAGAGCTAAAGGTGGGAAGGGTTCCTGCTATCCCGCGAAACCCATGGGCGCGAGCAGGGGCAGGGCCGCGCAACGGCGGCGCGCGTGCGCGCAGCCTGCCCTCGGCTGACGCCCCAGCTTGTGATGCCCTGCTGGAGCGTGGCCAATCACAAGGCCGAGTCAGGGTCACCCCTCGCCCTCCCCCAACACACACATACACATGCTCGAATGCACATATGCACACAGGCACTAACCCGCACAAACACACGTGCACACATGTACGCAAGCACACACTCACCCCCGCACACACACACACGCATGCACATGCACATACACACATGCACACACACACACACAAACTCACTGCCCACCTGGCAAACAGCACGTTGCAGAGCTTGCTCTGCCCGTACGCGCCCCATGGGCTGTACCCCTCCTTGGAGTCGATTGTCTCCTCAGACCGCACCCCCTCAGGCATGTAGGGCCCGAAGTGCGCCGAGCTGGCCAGCACGACCACGCGGCCTGGCTCGCCACTGGACCTGGCGGTGGCCTCCAGGACGCCCTGCAGGCGGTGCACCAGCGCGAAGTGGCCCAGGCTGCGGGGGTTCCGGGGGAGGACGGGGGCCAGCAAGGAAGGTGTGGGAGTTGGGATGATGGTGATTTAGTGCTGGGTCTCGGCATTGTCAGGGCAGCTTGAGCACACAGGGGGGGTCACAGGCACTGATGGCTGGGGGAGGAGGGCGCGGCGCCGGCGCCACTGCTGCGGGATGGGACAAGGAAGGGCTTTCCATGCACAATGGGCCCCAGGACACGGGCGCGACCACCGCCCCAGCCCGCCAGCTGCGTTGCGCCGTGGGGCGCGGCGCCGAGAATTCTGTCGCCGCCACCCCCCTGGCTCATGTGTCTCATGCGTCACCCCCGCCCCGTGGCTCACTGGTTTGTCCCGAACTGCGTCTCGTGGCCGTCCTTAGTCAGCCCGTAAGGGCACGCCATGACCCCCGCGTTGAGCATCAGCACGTGCAGCGGCTTGCCGCCCGCGACGTACTGCTCGGCCGCCGCCTTGACGGATTCCAGGCTGGACAGGTCAAGCTGCAGGGTGCTGACGGTGGCGGATGGGTGCTGCGCCTTGATCTTGCCGGCGGCGGCGGCGGCTTTTGCGGGGTCGCGGGCGGCGATGATGACCTCGGCGCCGCGGGACGCGAGGACGCGCGCCGACTCCAGGCCGAGGCCTTTTCGAGGGGGGAGTGTTTTAGGGAGGAGCGGGCGGGAGAAGGGTGCCAAAGGTTGAGCAGTTGCGCACGCATGGGCTGCGCATGTGCGCGGCTGCTGTTGCATGGGCTGGCGGTTTGCTTGGGGCTTGTGCGCATGCGGTTTGGCGTGACAATGCATGGGCGCCGGGCGCGCCATGCGTGGGCACCGCTGGGCGTATGGCATCAGGCCCCAGGAGTGCATGGCGAGCGGCCATGGCCTCTGCCGACGACCCTGCAATCCTCCCTGGTGCAGACGCAATCCACCTATCTAACCTGTAGAAGCGCCTGTGATCAGTATGGTCTTCCCCTTGCCGTCCCAGCCCCGCGCGACCTGATCCGCTGTGGACGACGCGCCGAAGCCGCTGGGGCCGGCGCTGCCTAGAATGTACCCGGGCAGGCCCGTCATCGGCGACGACGCCGTGCCGCCTTTTACCGAGAACATGGTGTCTATGCGATGGCTTCCAAGTTTGTGATAGACACTGGCTCCTCCTCCGCAGCTCGATCACGCACTTGAGTGGTGAGCGCGCGTCTAAGCAAGTATGGTATGCTCGGAGGCGAGAGCGAGCGCGTTCAAATGCACATGAATATAGAAATTCAAGGCATTAAGCACGTGTGTTTTGGATGCGTGCAGTTGCTCACTTGCACTGACGCCCCTCCTGAGCAACGCACGCAGCTGCCTCGCGCATTCAGCTCCACAACTGCCGCTGTGTGCCCGGCCAACAGAAGCCGCTGCTGCTGCGCGTGTAACAGCTTTGAAGGCAGCTTGAGAGGCAGTGCACGCCCACCCCCGGCATGCAAGCGCACGCCGAGTTGATAGCCTGACTTGTCGTGCTGAGCCAGGGCTGAACTCCCGTCGCATTGTGCGGGGCGCGTTGACCAATGCCCCCACGAATGCACCCCCATCCCATCACCACCTTCCCCATTCCACACTTTCACGCGTCCCATCATTGCACAACATGTAGAGCTCAGCCTGGTCACCCCGAAGCTGCTGAAGAGGGTTTTCAAACTCCCGCCCCCCTACTTCCTCGCTGCGCCGCCCCTGCCGCCCTTTTTCCCGCCATCCCCTGCGTCCGGCGCCGCCGCAAACGGCAGGCCCCACACAACCAGCCCCGCCTCGCGCACCGCCTGCACCTCGTGCTGGCCGAGCCCCTGCAGTGCTGCCGCAGCAGCCGCGCCCAGGGTCTTGCCCTCGGATGCCAAGCCCCTGAGCAGCCCCGCCGCCAGCTGCGCGTTCGCCCACGTAGTCGTTGCCACCGGCGTCAGCGCGGCGCAGCGGACGCCGCGCAGCAGCAGCAGCATCGCCACGCGCGTCGGGCCCTCGAGCGCGCGCCGCGCGCGCGGCTTGCGGTTGTCCAGGCGCAGCTGCCGCACGGCCGCTTCGGCGTTGCTGGCGCGGTCGAAGATGAGGGCGGCGGTGCAGCCCGACAGGTCCAGGCCGCAGAGTACCTGCGGGAGAGGGCAGAGCACTGAAGTTTGACACCACATTGAATAAATTCAAACGTTGGTGGGCGCTGAGTACTGAACGAGGTCCCAGGCCTCGTTCGGAACACGCTGGAAGTGTGTGCAAGTGCCTAGCCCAGCCCTTTGCAGGGCCCAACCATGCGCCTGTTTGCGGGGCGGGCGCAAGGGGCGGGGCGCAGCACCGGTCTGGCAGGCGCGGCGGCATGAACAGCCATTTGTTGCTGCTGCTGTCGCTGTCCGTCTGGACGCAGCTGCGGCAGCACACGCCCTGTGGCTGCGGCAGCAGTAGGCGCAGCACTGCAACTGCCACCAAGTCTGCTGCGGATCCCCCTGCTAATCTACATCGCTAGACCGCCTGCTGACACCCGGCGTGTGATACTGCCACGCCCAACTGGCACACACCTCTGGCGACATGTAGGCGAGGAAGCGCCCCACCCCCATGAAGAGTAGCGCCGACGCCCCCGCGGCCGCCGCTGCATACTCGCAGTCAGCAGGCACCACGGCGCCGGCCCCGGCACCGCCGAGCGGCGGCGTGCCCACGAGGCCCGCCTGCCACTGGGCGCCGTAAGCTGGGAGCAGCTTCTCCCGAAGCAAGGGCAGCAGGGGGACGACGTAATCGCCTGCGTGAGGGTGTTGAGATGATTGATGGGGCCTTGTCTGTTTAATACTCGGGTCATGATAGAACACAAACTGGGGCTCATAATAATTTTGATGACCCATCAGACATCCAAACACCCACAAGGCCTCCCTACACACGCATGCACACATGCACTCACGCGCACATGAACACACACACCTGTTGCTCGCGCACACGTGTGCCTCCAAACTCCGCACATCACAAGGCAGGGGAGCAGCACCCCCTCCTTCATCAAACCAACCGCCACCAGAGTCTGCGCACCTGAATGCTGTTGACCAGCGTCGCTCTCTTCATGGAGGGGGTCCACGATGTACGTCAGCCGCACAGCATTCACCACCGCAGGCTGCGCCGCCACGCCAGCCGCCACCGCCGCGCCCTCAGCCGGAGCCGCCGCCGCTGCTGCCGCCGACGCCACCGTCGCTGCGCCCTTCGCTGAGCCCGCAGCCGGCGCAGCGGCAGCCGCCGCCGCCCCGCCGGGCGGCGCCAGCAGGTGGCGCGCGAGTGCGGCCGAGAAGCACCGGCCGACGCTGCCGCAAGAGCCACGCACGGCCGGCAGGGCCTCCCAAGGCAGGGGGGACAGCTCAGGGTCTATTAGCAGCAGCAATGAATGGCTGCTGCCGCCGCCCTCGCCCGCTGCCGGCGCTGCGGGCGCTCTGCCGCTACCCGAGGCAGAGGGCGGCGTGGTAGGGGCTGGCGGCTGCTGCTGCTGCTGCTGCTGCTGCTGCTGCTGCTGCTGCTGCTGCTGCTGCTGCGACGTCAGCGGCAGCGGGAGGGCGGCGATCAGCAGGTGGGCCAGGGGTTTAAGCAGCGCCTCAAAACGCTGCACCAAGGCTCGCCACTCTGTGTTGAACTCCTCCCCAAGCAGCGGCGCCTCGGGGACGCAGCCGGGCTGCTGCTGCTGCTGCTGCGCCGCCGCTGCGGCAGCAGCAGCAGCAGCCTTGCCGCCGTGGACGGCCATCGATTGACGGGTCCCAGTCGGCGACGCCGCCAGCCTCTGCGGCTGCGCGCCCCTGCCAGCGGCCGCTACGGCCGTAGTTGACGCAGCCGCCGCCGCTGCCTTGGCCGCCGCGGCTGCGGCGGCGGCGGCGCGCTCCTGCGCCTGTGTCGCGCCCTCCACTAGCGCCCGCCCAAGCCGACGCTTGTAATTTCGGAAATCGGAAACCAGATCTGATAGCTCATCAGCCGACAGCCGCATGCTGGCCACAACCGGCTCAGCTGTCGCGGCCACCTCCACCCCTTCGCCTGCCGGTGCAGCGGCGCCCTTGTTGCCCTGCCCCGCGCCCAGCCCCTGCGCCGGCCTGCCGCCGCTCCCTGCGCCGGCCGCCTGGGCGGCGCCGGGCGGCGCGGCGGGCGCCGCCGGCTGCGCCGCAGGCAGGTTTGCCGCAACGAGAAACAGCTCCCCGGCGGTTTCGTCGTGGTGAAGGATCAGCACGCGCGTCGAGGGCGGCAGCGCCGACAGAGTTGGCGCCAGCAACGGGAGCGGCCCGAGCTGCAGCCGCGCGCGCGTGACGCCCGCGGCGGCCGCGGCCGCGTCGGCCTGTTATTGGAAGCAAACCGACGTGAGGGAGGTCTGGCGCAGCCGACAGAATGAGTCGCAGGGCTGTTGCAAATAATTGCAGCTGTGAGGTCGCCAGCAGACACGTACAGCCGCCCACGTTTGACCAACAAGCACCACTGCATTGACCCCCCACGCCACACCGGGGTGGACCAGTTGCGCGCAACCACGCACCCCCATGCCGAGCGGGACGGAAGCAGAGGCCGAACGTTAGTGCAGCAACAGCAGCGCACCTGCTGCACAAAGCCCGCCGCCCCACACCCCGCCGGGACGCCGTCAAGCCGCGGGCCGCCCGTCTCGGCCGCGGCGTGCCGCCGCCACGCCAGCACCTCCGGGTGCCCCGACGGCCCCGCGGCCTCGATGAACGTCTCCCTCATTGCCGCCGCCGCCGCCGCGCTCTGCGCCACCGACAGCCACTCGGCCACGCCGGCGGCCGCGCCGCGCCGCGCCGCTGAGCGCGCGAGCGCGAGCGCGGCGCGGCGCGCGGTGGCCATGTCGCCGGCGGCGGCGGCGGCGGCGAGCGCTGATTCAAAGTAACAGACCGCCTGGTGCCCGTAGAATCCCTCGGGCCCGGCCGTTCCATTCGACGCCTCTGTGTCTTCTTTTTCTCGCGGCGCCTGGTCACCACAAGACGAGACCCGGCACGCAGACGCGTCCGCAGCCGAGCCAACCTGGCTCAACGCAGCCGCGGCGGGCCCGTCAGGCGGGCTCGCGGCGGCGGCGCCGCCAGGCGCGCCGTCCGCCGCCGCGGCGGCGGCCCGCGCCTCTAACGCCTTCATCTCGAGCGCCTCCCCCGCCGCAGCCAGCGCGGCGGCACGCACGCGCGCGCCCGCCGCGCCCACGCCTGCACCCGCCGCGGCGCCCGATGCGTGCAGAAGCGCCCGGTCCTCCCACAGCAGCGCCCCACGGCCGCCGCCGTCCGCGGCACCGGCGCCATCGAATCCGCGCTGCTGCGCCGCCTCATCGGCACACACATCTAGATAATCAATCAGCACCTTGGGGGGTGGCCCCAGCCCGGGGACCATGGGCAGCGGCGGCCGGGCTGCCACGCGGTCAGATGCTGCATGGGCGGCCGCCTGCCTTGCCAGGCGGAGCTCGACCTCCGCGAGGCGCCCCCGGGTGGCCGCCAGCAGGCGGAGGGCCGGGGAGCCGCACGCGGCGGCGCCCGCGGCGCCCGTGGGCGCCGGCGGGCGGGAGGGGTGGGTGGCGGCGTGGGGGACGCTCGCCTCGGACTCCGCGGCCTGGGGGAGACGAGTTGGGGTGATGTGTGTCAGGGTGTTCAGGGTGCGATGCAGCAACACACGCGCGCACACACACATGCGTGCGTGCACGCCCGGCTCCTGGGCACACAACGAAGTTCCGCACCCCCCCCCTCCCGCACTCTTTGGTTCAATCCTCAATGCATCACACGGGCGAGCCAGGCTGCCACCGCCCACCTGCAGGACCTTCCAAACCTCAAGAAGAGCCGGCCTCTGGTCATCCATTGCCGCGAGCCCAGGCTGCAGCAGCATCACCTCGGCAACCAGCAGTAGCGAAGCCACACGCGCCGGCGCAGCACGTCCCCCGCATGTGGCCAGAGCCGACGCCGCCCCGCGCGCGAGCTCCAGCGCCCGCGCGCGCGCCCGGGCGGCGGCCTCCGGCGCCGCCACCCGCGCG